GGCTAGAATCCCAGTCAATACACATCAGCACTGAGTAATTGTCTGTGCTTCAGTTTCTTCCTCAGCACAATAAACGTGCTTCCTTCCCTGAGTTGTTATGAAGTTTTAAAAAGAAGTTAATACAGAGCACTGCATGGCACATGGTGTGAGTGTTGGCTGTTACTGTTGACTGTAGATGTGATAACTATGATGACAGAGAGGAAACTAAGTCTCAGAGATTAAATGCCTTCTTTAAGTTCAACAGATATTAAATAATAGATGAAATCAGGTCCATCCATCAACAAAAGCCAAACTTCGCCTTTTTCTATTATTGCTTTGGTACATCTAGGGTTCCCAATGGAAGTGCTATGAGAAAATGGAAGCTTTAAAGTACCAACAAAGAGGGCATTTATTAGGACAGCAATTGTAGTATCTTAGCTTTTTGAGACAGGGTCTTACTATGTAGCCCTGGCTGGCCTCAAACTCACAGAGATCTACTTGCCTCTGCCTCCTGAGTGCTAGAATTAAAGGTGTGTGCTACCATGCCTGGCTAGTCTTTGATCCTTGAATATTTATTTCTTATTTTTCTTCTTCTTCTTTTTCTTTCTTTTTTTGTCTTTTTGAGACAGGGTCTCCCTGTAGTGGGTCTGACCTGGAAATCACTATGTAGACCAGGTTGGACTTGAATTCACAGAGATCCTCTTGCCTCTGCCTCCCGAGTGCTGGGATTAAAGGCATGTGCCACCACGCCCAGCTTTCTTATTTTTCATCTGTCTCTCCCATTGTCACTGAGAATAGGGAAACTCCACAAGCTATAACACAGGGCCAGATATAGTCTTTGATATTTGTTAAATTGGTGAATAATACTGAATTTTCATATAAGTAATTTAACTTGCTAGTTTAGTAGAGAATAGATAACAGTTGATGGTATATGAATGAGAGAAAAAATTCATACTAGCTGGGTGTGGTGGCATATGCTTTTAATCTCAGCACTTGGGAGGCAGAGGCAGGTGGATTTCTGTGAGTTCAAAGCCAGCCTGGTCTACATAGTGAGTTCCAGGCCAGCTGGGGCTACAAAAAGACTGTCTCAAAAACCAAACCAAACCAAAACAAAACAAAAATTCATACTATATACAAACTTATTCAGAAGAAAGTAATATTCCTTCTACCCAATTTTCCAGACTCATCTCCTATTTCAAGAGGCATCCATGGTAACTACTTTCTTGAGATGTTACTGAATTATACCTAATTTTAAGTCTATTTAAGTTTATTGCCAAAGAAAATTAGAGAATAGGAGGAGATGTTTTGTAAGAATGTAGTCAATATATTTTCTTTTCAGGGAAGTCAATTTCTTTCAAACCAGTTAAAGGCAACTCTGATGCAAACTTCCTTTGTGTGTGTATAAACAGCAAGACCAATAGCAGGTCAATATGCTGTGTGTGTGTATGAATTCCATCAGGTAAAAGAAAGCCTCTATGTTGAACCTATGCTCTGCCAACTACAGGGTCCCAACCCTTGCAGCGGATCTATGATCCCTTTTCCTAGCTCTTTGCCTGAGATTTAATTTTATTGTGTCAATCCATCCCTTTTACATGGAAAAGAGTCACATTCTGTGTCTTGAATAAGACAAAGAAATTTTCCTTTCTTTCAACAAGATGTTTGAGGTTGATCTAATGAAACAATACATTCTGAAATGAGAAAACACTTCCTGGAGGAAGAAAAGCAGTGGCTCTTCTCAGCGTGTTCTTTTTGTCAGATAAATGCGTGCAACAGCCCAGGAAGACACCAGCTACCTAATGCTCTCCTCACAAACCCCTTTAAGGGGACTTGGAGCTTGTTGCTGCCTTCTAGCAGGTTTGCCAACCTGCTCTTGTTACATGAGGTTTTGTCACAGCATGGCACACTCATACCTTGACATTGCTTAGAAATGACATCAAATTGCACAAGTGATTCTATGCTTATAGCTGGAGAGGAAGTGGTATGGAGATATTCACAGTTCTCTCCTTTGTTCTGTGTTTATAGGGATTCTATAACTACCCCTAATCTACAATGCTGTTTTCTGGTTTCCATTTCCACATGTTAAAAGCACATTCATTTTATTTCAAAAAGATAAAACAAATCGAACAAAAATTCATCCTAATGCATATGTTTTGTTTTCAAGTACTTTTTACTAAAAGCTACCAAAATCCAAGAATTTGATTTGATACTAATATCTATAGCTCTTCTCAAATCATATTTTGGGAAAACAATTTCTTCCTCCGTTCTTGCTAACATCAATCTTGCTTTATGTTCAAATAAAGAGTCAATGTACAGACATATTCCTCCCCTATTATTTTGTTTAGGGTTGATGTAGACTTGGAACCCAGTGACAAGCTAAATAGAGCCTTTGTTTCCACTGGGCCCTCAGTGGGAGATACACCAACAGATAACCAAAAGGTTCCTCCTCTTTGCCTTAATCTGTTTGCTTCTAACTTGTCTATTTGCTATTCTAAGTCTTTGGTGTAAACATGGTGGTCTCTCTGACTATCAATGAGCTCTTTTTCTGTGTTTCTTTGTTAGTGCCGTCTTCTTGTTGCTGCTAACTCCTCAGTTTCCACTAGTAAAGCCAACCAGGAGGGCATCCAGCCAACTTATCTACCCGCCAACACTCACTGCAGTTCTCACAAATCTGAGGAAAGACCCTATTGGGCCAGGAAGTGATCCAGAGCTCTAGGGAAAACAGACCCTGAAGTCCTGGTGTTTTCTTCCTGTTATTAGGGATACTATTTCTTTGTATTTATAAACTTCCTTCTCTGTTAATCTGACTTCTATGCTCATGCTTTATTACTTTCCATCCCTTCATTCTTTAATGAAACTATTTCTATCTTAGTGATTCAACTCTTCTGGGGTGTAGGATGCCATTTTGAATAGCTGTTGTCACTTTTCCAAACACACCGAGCTCTGTACATACAGGATTGCAAAGTACATGGTAAGTCATTAAATAAGTGTGAGGGACAAGGCTTAATTGTAGAATTCTAAGTTTTTTCTTGAGTTTAACTTAGAGCAAATAACATTGCAGAATGCTAATGCTGCCCAGCTGCATCTAGCTGCGTGTCTTCATTGGTCTCCATGCCGCATGGCAGCGTTTTCCTACCTAGCATCTCTCATGTGTGCCAGTAGTCGGTGGAACAGGGGCAAGATGGCTCTTCTGTTTATGAGAACAGCCTCTGGCACTAAACTGAGCTTGCTTTTCTTCTCAAGCACCTGCAAGCTTTGTGACTTTGGACTAGTTGCTTGCTCTCTCTGTGGTCAGTTTCACCTATAAAATGAGGACATTTATAGTAATCATATCTATGGGCTTGTTTGAGGACTTAGTGAGTACATGCAAACTACCCAGAAGGTAGCTGGAATAGTCCTATATAAAGACTCTGAGTATTCTCCAGTTATTACTTGGTCTGTGAGTCACAGCATTAATGAGGTAAAGATACTACATTTTACTTTGACTTTTAAGACAAGGCCACAGTGCTAAAAGATATCCTCCAGGAATATATTCAAACCTGGAAGCTACTAAAGAGAGCCATTATTACTCTGAGTTAGGACACATTGCCATTGACTACCTATCTCTACAATTAATTGAAAATTCATTAATCAATAATTTACCAAAAAGGGCCAAAGGTATTGAAATGGGATCCACTATATTCTCCAGCCGTATTTGCACTTATCTGCAATTTATGAAGCCAGTTTCCTTGACACATAGTTCTATGTTATTTATATGTTATAACTCTTGAATAA